CTATCCGCATTATGCGGTATTAGATGAGTATGTTCTGCTGAATGGACCCATGTTCATGTAACTATTATAGAGTTTGGGCCCTAGAATACTTCAGTGCTGAAGTTAAAAGGCTAAGAAGTTGCAGGGCTCAGATTATTTCTTCACTATCTTGCGCTAAGCCTTTCCTCTACTTCGATTTCCTTTTCATACTCGTGTAAGACTAAAAGAAACTGCAATTTACATTCTATGTTGAAGTCAATCAGAGTTTAAGTTTCTGGAGGTTCTAGAGGAACTTTACTAAAATGGGTGGTCCTTATTTATAGGTTTTCTCAAGGGAAAAAACGAAGGCCTTATTTGTCTATACAAAGATCTGTTTACCAAATGTGTATCTAGGGAATCAAGTGGGTACATGTTTTGATTACCTTTCAAAAAAAAAAAAAAAGTGGGTACATTTTAATTTCAGTAAGGTAACGTTAAGGGGTGAGGGTTTACATAATAACTTCATTTCAGTAGTGCCTTACCTTGCAGCTCTACCTATCATCTGTGCTTTCGGTATAAAAATGATTTTTAAGTGATCCCACTCTCTCTTACTCTGTGCCATGGCGTTAGATTGGCAAATAATTTCTATGTAGTTTCTTCTACTTATTTTCATTTTGAATATCAGATGGGGAAGATGAAGAACTTGGTGATCTTGGTTCAGCAAGCAAGAAAAGACGCACTTCAAGTGGTGCAAAAGTCAGAAAATCAAGAACGAACAGGTATGATTTCGTTTGTTACCCGTCTCTGTAATTATGACTTAATTTAGTTATTGAAGACAGTTTTGATTTTTGTTCTTTGTTATGTAATATTTATTTTCCCATTAGGATGTCTTCTGTTGCGAATGTCGTACTTCAGAAGCTGTGCACAATTCTCAGTTTTCTCAAGGACTTGATATCGATAGAGCGCTTATCAGATAGTTGCATTCTTCAGCTAGTGAGAGTTAGTTTACAGACATTACTGGTAGACAATATCCAGGTTTTACAGCTGAAAGCAATCAGTTTAGTTGGTGGGGTAATACAATCTGCTTATGCCATTCACTTTACTGTTCTATTTTCAATGATATGTAGCTGGCATCTGTGCTAAATTGCATGGCATGATTATGATTCATTATGCAGATATATCACACTTACACTCAACATCGAGCTTATGTGATGGATGAAACTCTTCAAGTCCTTTTGAAGTTACCATTCTCAAAGCGTGTACCGAGGGCTTATCATCTTCCCGATGAAGAACAGAGGCAGATTCAGTTAATCACTGCTCTATTGATTCAAGTGGTCCACTACAGTGCAAATCTTCCAGAAGTTCTTAGGGGAACATTGAGAAATCCTTCACTAGAAATCTCAATTGATGCTGGATTCCCTACAAAATGCCATGAAGCAGTCACGGAGTCTTGCTGTCTCTTCTGGAGTCGAGTTCTTCAGCGATATACTGGCACAAAAAATCAGGATGCATCTGAGCTGAAGATAATGATGGAGAATATTGTAATGGACTTGCTCACAACCTTGAACTTACCTGAGTATCCTGCTTCGGGTCCTATTTTAGAGGTACCCTTTTTTATAGTTAATGCTTGGATTGACTGCATCAGTTTTTGTTAATGATCAGTGTTTTGCAGGTTCTTTGTGTCTTGCTCCTGCAGAATGCTGGGCCCAAATCAAAGGACACTGCTGCTCGTACAATGGCCATTGACCTTCTTGGTACAATTGCTGCAAGGTTGAAACATGATGCCGTCCTTTACAGGAAGGAAAAATTTTGGATTGTGCCGGAGTTTATGAGTGGTGACAGTGTCGATCCCGACCATCCAGGCGATGCTTGTTCTGTTTGTATGGACACAAGGATTGAAAAATCATTGTTTGTATGTGAAGGTTGTGAAAAACCTTTTCATGTTGATTGTATAGGAGGAAGAGAGCATGAAGTTCATTCTCGCAACTCCTATTGTCAGATCTGTCTATGTGAGAAGCAACTTCTCGTCTTAAAAACGTACAGTGAGACTCAAGGCCAGGATGGCCAGAAAAGCAATCAAAATCATTCAGGAAAGTCTTCTCATGCAGCTGATACAATTACGAAACAGGAGATTATGCAACAGATGCTTCTGAATTATTTGCAGGATGCAGGGTCCACCGGTGATCTGCACCTCTTTATCCGATGGTCTGTGATTACATAAACATGTTTCAGTTATAAACTTTTTTATCGCCCGTAACATCCAGTCTTGCAGGTTTTATCTTTGTCTATGGTACAAAGATGACCCAGGTTCTCAACAGAAGTTCTACTACTACCTCTCAAGGTTGAAGTCTAAAGAAATTGTACGCGACTCTTGTTCACGTTCCTCCTCTCTGACAAGGGATTCAGTGAAAAAAATAACTTTGGCATTGGGACAAAATAGTTCTTTCGCTCGAGGATTTGACAAGATTCTTCAAATGCTCCTGGTTAGTGAAATACCAATTCCTGCTTAAAACTGTAGAAACTGAAGATTTAATTTTTATTGCTTAATTGTTTATAGGCAAGTCTGAGGGAGAACTCACCAGTGATTCGTGCCAAGGCATTGCGTGCGGTATGTGGGAAGCACATTTGTCAGCCACACAGCTGACTTTTCTTTCTGTTTTATCTTTCCTTTATTTCTGTTTGTTTTGTTTGTGGTGGAGGTATCTGCTGCTATTAAAGGCTTACCTCATTTGTTGCTTATGCAACAAGAACAGGTTAGTATCATTGTAGAAGCAGATCCTGAGGTTTTATGCGACAAGATTGTACAAACAGCTGTTGAAGGGAGATTTTGTGACTCTGCTATATCCGTTAGAGAAGCCGCACTTGAACTTGTTGGTCGTCATATTGCTTCACATCCTGATGTTGGTCTAAAGGTATTGCAGTTGCCTGTTCTCATTTTTACACGTCATGGCAGGACTATTTTTAAGTTTTATCTGTTTGTCCCTCTAACTTAGGATTTTTTTTTTAGTATTTTGAGAAGGTGGCAGAAAGAATAAAGGATACTGGAATAAGCGTTCGGAAACGAGCTATCAAAATTATTAGGGACATGTGTACCTCAAGTTCTGATTTTTCAGAATTTACCACTGCTTGTGTCGAGATAATTTCCCGCATCAATGATGAAGAATCCAGCATACAGGTAATTCAGTACTTTAGGCTCTTGTTTTTCGATAGCTGTACCGAGCTCTACCTCCTCTTATGCGTGAAGCACCACTTCTTTTTTTGTGGGGGGTGTCTAATAATCAAAAAGTAGCACAAGAAAGATTTAGCTGCCAAGATTCTTGGAAACTTTTTCTGCTGGTAATTTTGACATGGATCTACGTAGTAAAGAAATCATATTGATAGTAATGCCATAAAGATAGGTGGTATCCACTGATAGAATTTTGGTGCGGTGATTAGTATTTCGATCATATGTTGTTGCAAGCAAGCACGAATCTCATTTTTATGTTCATATTTGGTAGTTTTCTTTCTTTACTCTCCTTTTTCTTTCTTTCCTTTTTTTTTGGGTGGGGTTTTGGGGCAAGCATTTGATGAAGTTACGATTGATGAATGTCTCACAGAGATGGGAATGTGGTAAGATGAACATATATTTTGATCATGGATGAGACCAAAAAATTTATTTGCTATTCTTCCACGATGCAGATATGAGTATTGTGCTAAAATTGTAGGTGCCGTTCTCTTACTTTTAGATTGTTACGGGCACTCTGAATATTTTTAATGATTTTTATATGCATTATGTTCGTTTTCGAGATAGTTTTAGATGTAATTCTCCTCCACTTGTAGGACCTCGTTTGCAAGACATTTTATGAGTTTTGGTTTGAGGAGCATTCTAGCTCGCAGAGCCATCTTTATAAAGATGGTAGTTGTGTCCCATTGGAAGTTACTAAAAAGACAGAGCAGGTTGTTGAGATGTTGAGAAGGATGTCCAGTCACCAACCCCTTGTGACTGTCATTAAACGCATCTTAGCCCTTGATTTCTTCCCGCAATCTGCTAAAGCTGTCGGGGTCAATCCTGTATTGCTTGCTTCAGTACGCCATCGCTGCGAGTTAATGTGCAAGTGCTTGTTGGAAAAAATATTGCAGGTATTGCATTTGCTAAATATAATGCATAATATTTTGCTTCAAGTTCCTTGCATCTGAATATGTTGATTATTTTCCTATGAAAGATCACCAAGGGGGTGCATCTGTGTCACATTGAAAAAAAAAAAAGTTTTACCTTTCTACAATACATCTATTCAGTAAATATATCAATTGCAATGCATCGAAAGTGGGTGCTCAATTCTGTCAAATATCCTCCCATTCATCTCGTTTTGCGAGAGAAACTAAAAGATTTACATAGAGAAGCTCGGCTGATGTGATCGGATCGCTGTCTTCTTACACCACTCCAGTGGGGAAAAGTTCTTCACTTGGCAGAGCATTACTCTTTTCCTCCTAACAGATGAAAATAATGAAGCCAAAGCTCCTTTTTGAATAAAATATAGATATATTATCTGGACTTCCCTATCATTCCAACAACCAAACACCATTTTACTTCTATTATCTCATATTATCACTAATTCGAGAATTTTGATCCGAATAATTATGGTCCTCCAGGTTTCCGAAACGAGCAGCGAGGAAGGAGAAGGGCACATGCTTCCCTATGTTCTGCTCTTGCATGCCTTCTGTCTTGTGGATCCTACACTATGTACACCAGCTTCCGATCCTTCTCAGTTTGTGGTCACTCTACAACCATATCTGAAGAGTCAGGTCATTCACATTCTATTATACAGTTTACTCACATAGCAGCTCTATTTTCTTTTAAATTCAGCATTTCGTGAAGGGAGTTCTTCCTAGTTCCACATGTGCATTCAAGTTGATTAATCCATGTATAGAGACGTGCCATGCATTTTGCAGTTATAAATTGTTCTTTTTTCAAATATATTTTTGGTTGGTTCTTGTTGAACTTTGTTTTAGGAAAATATTCTGGGAAGCTTGAATAAAATTGCCAAAAACTTGACGCGCTTTTCCATTCTTACAGTCGGACAATCAAGTATCTGCACGCCTGCTCGAGAGTATTATATTCATAATTGATTCTGTCTTGCCCTTGATGCGGAAATTTCCCCAAAGTGTTGCTGTAGAGCTTGAACAAGATTTAAAGCAAATGATTGTCCGGCATTCTTTTTTGACAATTGTTCATGCTTGCATTAAGTACGTTGCTTCCTTTTTGATACTATTATTTGTTGTTGCTATTGTTACACTGCATTTCATACAAAATGATTCACTTGTCATGTGTCCTCTTAGAATCATTGAGTTTTGACTCCATGTCCTGTTATATATTTCTTCTATGATGATGGAAAATTATATGGCAAGTAAATTGATTTTCCTTTTCGGTAGATCCTTTCTATCCATTTTTCCATCTTTTTTCTGGAGAGATTTTATTTTTTATTTTTTTCTTTTTGGAAAGGTAGGGGGAGCAATTGGTTTTGAAAGTAAAAATTTCTATGTTGGTATACTTTTTCCTTGTATTCGCGATTTAGAATATTTATTGTAGTATGCATATATCTATAGAGTTAAGTATGAAGGAGTATCCAGGTGACAACAGAATGTCTATAATTTTTGTCTTGTATAGTATGAAGTTAAAGTATAATCGTAAGGGTTTATGGTAAAGCTTTATTATTAATCAAACATGATATATGCACCCTTTTTGGATTAGTAATTTCACTATAAAAGGTGAAATCTCATTGAACAGACGGAGAATCTTGAGCAACTAAGTTCCCTCACTGCATCTACTTGTATTTTTCATGTGGCCTTCTTTTCCTCTGCACGAGAAAATGGGTAGAAGCTTATGGTTTTAGTGGATATATTGGTGATTTGATTCTTTAGTGCATTCTATTATTTGCAATATAGAATTTTGCGAGGTTTAGTTAGAATGCTGCTGCTGTTGGCATTTTAAGTTTTTTTACCGCTACCACTGGAGGCTACTTGTTTGTTTACAAATTTGAACTTCATGATCTTGTTTGCTTATAGATGAATACTACTTTTAGTTTTGACGACTCTAAACTGTTTTCTTTCTTTTTGAGTCAATAGGTGTTTCAGTAGCTATGGCACACGGTAGATGGTGGTCGGGGAATTTTAGATTGCTGTCCTTTATTTTCCCCTCTTTGTTGGAAGATAATAACACTTATGCAGAATCTGGGAAGAGTTCTTTGTCCCATGGGTTATATAGTTCTTTTTTTCGCTAATATTTTCCATTTTTCATCCTTTACCCGAGTTTTTTGATATTCGTAAGTGGGGAAATTGATAGCTTTAGGTTTTGAGTTCTGATACTAGCTTATAATAAAATAGTTTTTGTACAGTTACAGAGCCTTCACTGTTTTAGTACTTTCTTCAACATGCTAGGGTCTAGTTTGATTTTCTGAATGTGATTACAAAATTCTGTTAATGTTTCCTAAACATTCCATCTCCCAATGCAGGTGCTTGTGCTCAGTGAGTAAAGTAGCAGGAAAAGGCGCGAGTATTGTTGAATATCTTATTCAGTTATTCTACAAACGTCTAGATGCTCTTGGTTTCGATAACAAGCAGGTTAGTAATTCCCTCTTTGGCTAATTACACATGCCTAGATCTAGAGAGAGAGAGAGAGAGAGAGAGAGAGAAGATAATCACATGTTCATTTCTCTTTTAGATATTAATAAAGTAAACTACTTGTTTTTCACTCTCTGATTTAGCTACTTAATTGAATCTTACATACTCGACAAAAAAGATTATATATTCTTCAGGCTGTTGATGACTTAATTGACTATGGTTAGCTGGTCTTACATTCATTGTATAGGCAAAAAGTCCTCAGCTCTGTATCTAATCTTCACTTGCAGTAATGAATTATATGGTTTAAAATGATTTGAGCTTTCCTTAAATGGATCACGTTACTTTCTCTTGAAGTAATAGAGCTTCTGTTGAGAACCTGCGTATCTATTTATCAACTTTTAAATGGTTAAAAAGGACAATCATGAAAGCACTTTAGGCCCACTTCTGTTTTTGCCACTCTCATCTTATACCTTGTGTCGCCCAAAATCCTTCATTCATCCCATGGTTAAGTTTTTCTTTAGATCATTATTCATGCTTGGTACCTTGTTTGTAATGGTCAAATTTTGTGTTCCAGTTCAGCCTCTAGATAAATTTGGAACAAACCATTTAGAGAGATGGTGTAATCACTGCTCTTGGTTTATTCATAACTTTGTGTTTTTGTCAAGGATAGAATTGGAAAGTTGTGATTATAAGTAATTTGACTTTCTTAAACTGGGTCTAATAATTATAGTTGGTAATGGCGGCAGAATGCTCTATATATTACAATAGAATTTTGCTATTATGAACTCTATAGCTGATTCTTCTATAACCATTTTAGCAGATATCTGCTTGGCTAACTTGATAGAAGGGTTTGATTGTATCGCTGCTTGGCTTTTAAAGTTGCTACTATCATAAAAGCAGTACAACTGTAAAGCTTAAAAACATGTAGCTGCGTTTAGTTAACTCTCCAGGAAAGGTTGACCCATAACCTTGACTACAGGATTTTTGCAGCATGTATGGCCCCTACTCCCCGCCCCCACGGAAACAAAAGAAAATAGAACAAAAGAAAACGAAGTAAAAAAAATAATAATAAAAAAATCACAACTGTCTTAAATTGGTATTCGTTGTATTACTTCATGATAGATGTCTGTTGGACTGTTGCTACTTTGATCAATCATTTACTTAATTTGTTCCTCTTTTACATCTCATGTGCTTGCTACTAAATTCTTGATGTTCTCGAGATATATTGTCGATGGTTTTTATCTTTTCAGCAAGTAGGTCGGTCTCTTTTTTGTTTGGGATTGTTGATTCGCTACGGTAGCTCTTTGGTGGCTGCATCTTCTTCCAACAAGAGGAATATGGATGTTGCAAGCAGTCTCAGCTTGTTTAAAAAGTATCTCCAGGCTGAAGACTTCGTCATTAAGGTCCGATCGTTGCAGGTAATCGTGTTGTACTGAACTTTTTGAAACCAGTCCTAATATGTTCAATTTTAAATTTCTGTAATGTAGTTCTGTCATTTCTCTAGGCATTGGGCTATGTTTTAATTGCTCGACCTGAATTTATGTTGCAAACTGATATTGGGAAAATTTTGGAGACTACATTTTCCTCCAATACTGATGCTCGTCTAAAGGTAAGAAAGTTTCGGTTGATTTCTTGCTCATCTGTGTATCTTGTATACTGATTTGTATTTTGTCCAGATGCAATCGTTGCAGAACATGTACGAATATCTTCTGGATGCAGAAAGTCAAATGGAAACTGACAAAGCTCGTGCTAATGAAGTTACTCATCCTATCGAGGGTAGTCACAGTGTGCCTGTTGCTGCAGGTGCTGGCGATACTAACATATGTGGCTGTATAGTTCAGCTTTATTGGGATAAAATGTTGACGAGAAGTTTGGATGCGAATGTTCAAATTCGCCAAGCTGCCTTGAAGGTTGTTATTTCAGCTTCATGTAATTTTTCGTCAACATTTCAATGTTCTTGGACCAAAAATTAACTTTGTATATTTATCATCAGTCACATTAAGGCTCAGTTTGAGCCCCATCTTTTTGGAAATGGATTTTTTAATTATGATTTTTTTGGGAGAGTGGTTAAAAAGTAGAGAGAACTTTTTGGTTTACGTTTAAAATTATTTTACTGGGAAAATGTTCAGTTGAAAATGAGTTTTTAGAGAATGGGGCTCATACAGGGGCTAAATGTCTAGTCCTTCAGTTCTAAAGTTGGAGTTATCATTTTAAAATATTCCCTAACGAATCTTGTAGGTTCAATCAGCAAATAGTTAAATTATTGGTTAATTAATTATTTGTTAATTCATTGATTCATTAGTGCTCTCATGAATGCAGATTGTGGAAATTGTGTTGCGCCAAGGTCTTGTACATCCTATTACTTGCGTTCCCTACCTTATTGCACTTGAAACAGATCCTCTGGAGGTGAACTCGAAGCTGGCTCATCATTTGCTGATGAATATGAATGAAAAGTATGTTATTCTATTTATACTTAAGGTTTCCATTATTTTTTGTCCTTTTGCAAATTAATGGATAGCTTTCCTTCAGGTATCCGTCTTTCTTTGAAAGCCGTCTGGGAGATGGCCTTCAGTTGTCTTTCATATTCATTCAGACCATGAATCAAGGGTCTCTTGAAAATTTTAACTTAAAAGCCCAATCCAGAGTATCTAACATGAAGGGAAAGTCAGATACTGCTTATGCAAGACTTGGGGTTTCTCGAATTTACAAACTCATCCGTGGGAATCGTATTTCGAGGAACAAGTTTATGTCCTCTGTTCTTCGCAAGTTTGAAACACCAAGCTGGAATGATTCAGTCATACCTTTCCTGATGTGAGTTGTGCCTGTGTCATCTACTGTTACAGACTTCAGCAGTGCTGCTTCAGAAAATTCATAAGAGTTGCTTTCCTTTTTTGCAGATATTGCACAGAGATTCTTTCTTTGCTTCCCTTCGCTTTGCCTGATGAGCCTCTTTATTTGATCTATTCTATAAATCGAATTATACAAGTCAGAGCAGGAACATTAGAGTCAGATATGAAGGACCTAATGCAATCATTACAAGGAAATACTCAGAATATCAGTGTAAATGGGGCGATTCAATCAGACCCTTCTGCTCACCCTGTTAGCTATAGAACCTTGACAATTGATAGCAATCAGAGAGTATCTGAGGAGTTAGAAGGTCATCATTTACCGGGACATGCTGCATCAATGGATTTAAATATTCATCCTTCAACTTCAGGAAATCCTTGTACTGTTTCTAGTGATGCATTGCTGAAAATCCAGGTATATGATGTCCCTGTATGCTAATTTTACCGAATGAGAGTAGATAGACATGCAGTGGGTCTCAAATATAACCATGCCTCATTCTGCTGTTCGTTTCGAAGTTGTTCAAAATCAGATTCTGCTGAAGCTTTAAATTACTAGCTGAGATTCACGTTAATTTATTTTTTAGTGTTCCCATGGGTTCTTAACTGAATATTTGATATTGTTGGGTGGGAAGGAAATATTGGATCCATTCCCTTGTTTCTGGGAAAGAGGGAAGGGAAGAGACTAGAGAGTAGAGTTGATGCAGTCCTTTCTGGTTCACGTAATCAATTGTTCCACTTCTAGAGGAACAAGAGGAAGAATTAATGAAATTGATATTGTGAGGTTTTGCTGTCAAGCAGACATTAAAACTTTTCCTTCCACATTACCTCTTCTAAAGTTCTCCTGAAAAAAAGAATTCAGCCCCCTTCCCATCCTCCATTCTCCACTGTTTCACCAATCATGGATCACTGTTTTGGATATGTGTACTGTAGTTTAATCAGTTTTGAAATAAATTGTTTTTTTTTTTTCAGTGTGTTGTAACAGATTGCCTTTTTAAGAAGCACGGGGTTGTGTAATTTGATAATGTGGTGGTGTCTTTTGGGTATTCCTCTCATGGCTTAGGCTAATCCATTTGTGATAATTCCTCAGGCTTGCTGTCTGGCTGCTGGTGCACTACAACTGCTTTTGAAGTTGAAGAGGCACCTCAAAATTGTTTATGGCCTAGATGATGCGCGCTGCCAGGTAGTACTTCCCTAATGTTCTGCTACTATTATGGCAAAGAATATTTTTTATCATTGGAGTTGAAACTGATGTTCATAAGTTCTTTTGTACTTCAATTAGGCGTTTTCTCCAAATGACCCAATTAAACCGGGTGAGGGTCTGTCAAGGCAGAACGTACCCTTCAATATCAGTGATATTAACATTAACCCACCTAACAATTACGAAGACTTTCTCAAGAGATATCAGGTAATTTGAGTGCTTATGATGCACCGCTTGGATTTATGATTATTCTTCTAACTCTGATTAATATGCATTTCCGAGGCACATAAATGTGTTTATGTACTTCTACTATTTTTCATATTGATTACTTTTCCTTTTTCAGTTTTCATGTTAATTGGTCAGTGGAAAAGTTTGGTGCTGGAGCTTTTTGAATGATATTGCATTTGATTGATTTGCAGTATTAGAGTCTTTTCTACTTGTTTATGTTCTTTTTCACCTTTTTTTTTCCCTGAAAACAATGTATTTATGTCTCACCATTCTACACATGCTTATGAGTTTTAAAAGTAGTATGATGCTAATTTGATTGATTTTACCGTGAATTTGGTTGTCTTAGTCCATGCCCTTTGTTCACCATTTTATGCTTCTCAGGAGTTGAAGAATTCGTTGAGGGAAGACACAGTTGACTATTCGACCTACACAGCAAACATCAAACGGAAACGACCGACTCCAAGAAAAGTCGGGAAGTCTAGCCGAATGGTGGGTATCAATGATGATGCTGATGAAGATGATGAAGAGTGGGGAGGTGGAGCTAGGAGTATATATAAAGGTGGCAGAAAAGGCAGTAGCAGCACAAGTAGGCAGCGATTCTAGCTGTAAATACATACAGGTAAAATTACCATGTACAGTACATAGAAGGAAAATCAAAGGGATTGGAGAAACAGACTTGCGAGTAGCACAAGTCCAGAGATTACAGGAGTTCCTTTAATTTGTTTCTATTGTGTAGTTTACTGATCCTAGTTGTTAATCCCGTCCCCATTTTCCATACCTTAGGTTAATATGTGGAAGGCATTGAATCAGAATCTAGGATAATAACTTTACAATCATTGAGATTGATATTTGTCTTATGGGGAAAATTTTGATTAGGGCAGGTTCATACCCTTTGAACTTTGTTGTAGGCAGCATTTGTACAGTTTGTTGATAAACAATTTCATTTCGGTTGAAATCTTGTTTGTTGATTAGGGTAGGTTCATACCCTTTCACGTGAAACTATGTTGAAAGCCGCTTATTTTCCACATAAAAACTCAGTTTTAGACGCCCACTTAGGTTTCCATTCTTCTCCCGTTAGATAAGAACCTACCCTGAATGTGTTTTGAAAGAATTTTACAGCCCATCTCTCTCACTCTGGAGTATTAAATTTTTTTGGGACTGTTTTGAATGATATATAGCTCGTCTTTTTGTGATTTTATGATCTTCAAATCATTTATTTTCGAAATTTTTGGGTGAAGTGGGCAGACAAAGTTCGGTACAGAATGATTTTATTTTTATTTTGTCTTTTTCATCTTTAAATTAATTATCTTTATTTTATTTGATTTAGTTCCTGTTGACTTCCTCTAAAACAAAACAATTTATTTCTCTGTTGACTTCCTCCAAAACAAAACAATTTATTTCTCGTTATCAGCTATACATTTACACAATAAAATATTTTGTACGTAAATTCAAAAAATTTTTCCACTGTTTCATCATACATTCTTTAAAAAAAAATAGTTACTCAAAACATTGTTTTTACATGACAATGGCCACCAAGCAGGGGTTTAATGTTAAGTGCAAATGAAGAGCATAAAGATATTTGATTGTGGACTAATGAAGAGCGGAAAGATAGTGCAATTGATTTCTTTGATTTCGTTGAATACTTTTCAGATAATGGACTACGTTCATATATGGTTACTATTCCTTTGGTGCACTACTGCAAAATGTATGAATAGCCATTATTTGTCCACTTTCTCAAAGAGCACAATAGGAAAGAAAAGATTACTCAAAATTAAGAATGGTTCGACATTTGAGAGTTCTAATCGTAGTTCAGAACTTCGAATATTCGAGTGGTCGTCTATGCAAGTCTTTACGATTAGAACTTCGAATATTCGAGTGGCTAATCTTCCAAGCTATACGAAGCTTCGAATGACTGTATATGCAAGTCTGAAAAGAATGGATTGACTTGATCTCTATATTTTTGAAAGTGATGATTTCACGTGTCATAGAAAGCACAATCGGTGGTTACGTGGATACATGACTATGATAAATAATTCGAATTGATGTTCTCTGTGTTGTTCGATAGAGTTGGACATGGTCCGGTTCGATTCGTTTCTGAAGAGATCCGAGTCTAACCAAAATTTTAGGGTATTTAATAAATGGAACCGTCAGGTTCAAATATAATTATGGAACAGTTTGGGTTCGAGTCCGGTTCTGTACCATAATTAATTTTTTTAACACATTTCTAATTATCAACGATCGATGGTCGTGGTTGGAGGTCACAGTTTCGATGGGCACTGAGAGGGGAATTCGGACTCGGCAGTCGGCGATTTCGATTTGGGCATGTAGATGTAGGTTTTTAATTTATCAAATGAAAGTGTGAAATTAGAAAGAGAATTATAAAAATTTAAAAGGGCCTAGATCTTGGGTCAAGAATGAAATAAATAATAGGACCAAAAAATTAAATGAAAAAATTGAATTTAGAAATTGGGTTGGGTGGGGCTATCTAGGCATGGTAATCACTAAATTAGTTAATTTGCTAATTTGTTTAGAAAAATTTTTAAAAATTAATTAATTCAATATAAAAAATTATTTAAATTCGATTCTTATTCGATTCTTCGATAATCGAACCAAATCTGTCGGTTCTCGATTCAGATACACGTTCGGGTATTTAACTTATGAAAAACTGTTCGATTTGGTTCTTAGACAAAGAGCAAGCAGGATATGAAGCACCGTTGGGTAGACCATGGCTCTAACCAGGTGGTTCATGATTAGGCTAATAAAAAGAGTCTCAAGCAGGGAAATGCTAGATGCGATTCGGGTTAAATTCGATCCGATTCGATTCGAGAGTTTTGTCCAAGCCTATTATAATTCAATGAATAGTCATTGCCAAGGAATCATAGTTTTTTTACATTGGAATAAAAAAACATTTTGTTGAAACCAGATGGGAAACCATTCATTATCCAGATGAACCAACAACATCTCTCTCTCTCTCTGTCTCTCATTATTGTATATTATATAATTGTATATGATCTTCATAGAGCTTTAAAATCTTCAAATTTTTGTATTAGTGGTGGTCAATTTTGAGCGTTGAGATGGATTTGGATTTTCAGAACTTCATTTTCGATGCGTGAATTTGATTTTTTGTTTGGAAACATTATATAACTTCTACATATAAGAATTACATTTCAAAACTAACAAACTTATCAAATTATTTCCAATTAATAATAAATAATCAATTGGAATTAATTATCCTCACCCAATTAATAATAGTACCCCACCCCAACCCAACTTGTAAAATTTTTTCCAAAAAGTTAAAATCTTTTATGGAAATTACACTTCACCGCTGAACCCAACCTTGAAAAGAAAACACTCAAAAACTTTAAAAACATTTTTTTGGAGATTACACCCCACCCCCACGGAATCATCCCAAATTTGTAACTAATTGTGTATTTGTGACCATACATGTGTTATATACGACTAACTGTGACCAAATTTATCTTCAGTGTGACTGTTTGTGAACATCTAATTTGTGTCTGTATATAACTAAATCACGAATTTGTAGTATATGTAACTAACTATGACCAAATTTGTCTTTAATGTGACTATTTGTGATCATATCAATCTTAACTATGACGTTATGTGACCCAAGTTACAACCGATCGCAATTAACATGGAATCGGTTACAACCAAACACATTAAACACATACTTGATAACCTATGGTCACCACAAATAAATTTGCACACACCGCATACCAACACCACAATCTACCACCACCACCTCCAATAAACTACCAGTATTAGCTTTAACTCAAATTCATGACCATAGATACTACATCCCCGACCTGTGTGACTATATTTATCCCCAGTGTGACTATTTGTGATCGGGTTAGTCTAATTTGTGACCGTATGTGACCAAATCATACAGATAGTCTAATTTGTGACCATATGTAACCAAGTCACATACAGTTATAGTTAACAAAGATATGGTTACAGACAGTCACAATGAAGATAGGCTTTGGCCATACTCGATTGTCTCTGCCACCACCACCCCGACACCACCACCACTCCAAAACAACGTTAAGAACCAAACGCGCACCACCTCACCAAGACCACATGCACCACAAAAAACATAAAACATCGACCACGCGTGCTGGGATCCACTGGAACAGTGGAAGGAAGAAGGCAACTAGATAGGCAGGAGGAGACTGGGACTCTGCGAGGTGAGGTAATGTTTCTCGACTCTGGGGTTTTTTTTTTCTTACATTTGGGCTTATGTTGTGGCCTGTGGGCCTTTTTTCCTTAAATGACCAGGTCCAAGAGAGGAGATATGATATACCAAAAGAAAACATACCCAGGCTCCCATCGACAGTAAGAAGAAAACATATGCAGCGTTTTTTGGGCATTTCGCAGAAACCCTCATCTTGTCATTTTCATCCACGTTGGAAGAGCGTCGCTGTGCAGCCGTGCGAGTTGCTGCAGCTCATCGAGCAGCCGTCCACCTAGTCTCCGATAGACTTCAGTTACTGGTAAATGTTTTTCTCGGTTTCTCCTTCATTATTCTGTAACTTCTATTCTTTCTCTCCCTTATTTTTATCTTTGGTGACTGGTGTTATTTTCTATTTATGACTGATCACTTATGAGTTATGAGTAATGGTTTATATTCTATGAGTTAATTGACAATTTAGCATTCAAATGAGAATTGTGATTTGTGATTCTGTGATTTGAGATAAATAATTTATGTTGTACGAGTCATTGAGTTATGAGTAATTTATCATTTAAGACTTCTGATTTGTGATTTGGGAATTTATGTTTAGTGCATTTATATATATATTGAATAATTTTTACTATTATTTAATTAAATATTAATAAATAATATCGCTATTATGATAGTTGATTGTCGACTATCAATGATCAACAATAAAGGTCCGCGCCCTAGCTAAATTTAAATCCTGAATTCGTTATTGCCACCACCGCCTCCAACTCATCACACATTAGGAGGGTGTTTATTTTTTATTTGAGAATTGATTCTCAAATCAATTCTCATTTTCAATCACACATTTTTCAATAAAATAATATTTTACGTCACATCAATAATTTTTTCTTCTTTTTCAACTACACATTTTCCGTCATATCATTATTCAAAAATCAATTTTTCCCCTAAAAATCCCTACAAAACAAGCTCTGAATCACCACCACAACCCATCACCCACCGCCTTCAATCGCTCCACAAACATCGCACATACCATCCCACACAGATCTGAACACACGTACCACAAATAGACCCACACACACTTAGCAACCCACCACCACCACAACCTACAACCACCGCAACCCAAAAAAGCAAGCTAAATAGGCGCCCAAAATACGACATGGTATCTAGGTTGGTAGATTGAACAAGGGACTCCCAATCGCACCTCAATCCATAACCACAACTACCACTTTCACATCAAACCCGCTAGCGAATCAGCAAGTTTTTAAGCCCTGAGTCCATTGATTTGGGGAAAAATCAATTTAATCCACAAATCATAGACCTCACATTACTGAAGGCTCAATTATTAATTGAGAGGAAGCCTTCATTGTCGGAGGTGAATAATTTCTATTGGATCCTTGAGGATGTTGTA